AAAGTGAGTCGTTTTGTTGCTCTTTCATTCCTTTTTCTTCTGTTGCTACAACAGAAGCATAAGCAGCAGCGGAAGCAGCAACACCACCTGCAGAATCCACAGCAGCATCAGCAGCACCGATGGAAACACCAACAGCAGCAGCTTCCTTCATCGCATGTGTATTTGGCCTTGATATAACTCGTCTCAACACAAAACCCAGTCCACCTATCAGATAGAGACTACTAGAAAGGGGTGAAACGAGCCTGGCTGTCTTCAGTCATTGGTGGATGGGCCATGAGTTGTGTGTAGGGTTTGTATGAACGTGTTGCTTTCTGCTGATGGCTTGTATTTGCATCTGTCTGCTTCGCGCAGAAAGACAACCCGTGTGCTTCCTCGCCTGGCCGAATACTTGTGTGTGTGTGTGGCGTTTCTGCTGCTTCAGGGGTTTCAAATATGGACGGACTTGGCGCCCGCGGTGCAGCAGCAGCCGAACCTTATGTTCGCTAAGTGCGTGGTGCAGGCGGGGTCAACTCCCGAGATGCTGCAGGTGCAGCAGGTAGAGCCCGCGGGTAACAATGAGACTTTCTCTGTGCCGCATGCACACGCATGGAATACGAACTCTTCTATTGATCCTATGACATATGGCGATATCGGCATGCTGCCACACACCAACATTCCCTGTGTATTAGATTTCTTACGTTATCGTTACATGAGAAACCAGATATATACTTGTGCAGATCCTCTTGTTGTTGCTATTAACCCCTTTAAAGACCTAGGAAACACCACAAAGGAATGGATCTGTAAATACAGAGATACTGATGACTACACTAAACTACCACCCCACGTCTTCTACACTGCACGCGTTGCTCTCGATAACCTCCATGGCGTCAACAAATCACAAACCATCATCGTATCCGGTAAAGCAGCCACCTCACCTCATGCATGCAGCAGTTCAACACGAACAAACTGCCTGGGGTTTCTGTTGCTTCTGTCGCATTCTGCTGCATGCATCTTCTCTTCTTTCTGGCGGGTTTATGGTTTAGGGTTTAGGGTTTAGGGTTTCGGGGTCTGTTTTCTATTTCTACTCCAACCGGCTACAAAAGCAGCAACACCAGAAACTTCTTGTCCGTGTGTGTCCTTCATGCGTTCGATGTTGTTTTATTTCTCCTGCAACTGCTGGTGTTTCTTCTCTGTTTCTGCTCGAGTTATGTTGCTGCATTTGTACTGACTGCGCTGCTGCTGCTGCTGCTGCTGTTGCTGTTGGTGGGTGCAGGCGAGTCGGGTGCTGGTAAGACGGAAGCTACGAAGCAGATAATGAGATATTTCGCTGCTGCGAAGGGGGGGGCGATGGACATGCGTATTCAGAACGCTATCATGGCAGCTAACCCAGTGTTGGAGGCGTTCGGTAACGCCAAGACTATCCGTAACAACAACTCTTCTCGTTTCGGGCGTTTCATGCAGCTTGATGTAGCAAAGGAGGGGGGTATTCGCTATGGTAGTGTTGTTGCGTTTCTGCTTGAGAAATCGCGTGTTCTCACCCAAGACGAACAGGAACGTTCGTACCATATCTTCTACCAGCTGTGCAAGGGGGCTGACGCAAGCATGCGTGAACGTTTCCACCTGCTTTCTCTGGACCAGTACACATACATCAACCCCAAGTGCTTCGACGTGCCCGGCATTGACGACTTAGCCGACTACAAGGAGGTCTGCGATGCGTTCAAGTCTATGGCCCTCACAGACGAGCAGGTTGACTCAGTGTGGAGCGTTGTAGCCGGAGTGTTGTTGCTTGGAAACGTGCAGATCACCGCGACAAAGCAGGGCGGCATGGATGATGCTGCTGCTATTGAAGGCGCGAATCTTCAGCTTTTCAAGGAAGCTTGCGGTCTGCTGTTCATCGACCCAGATGAAGTAATGAGGGAACTGACAACAAAAGTCACATACGCCGGGGGTCAGAGAGTGGAAAGCCGCTGGAGACAAGAGGACGGTGACATGCTCAAGTCCTCCTTAGCGAAAGCAATGTACGACAAACTTTTCCTGTGGATCATCAGTGAACTGAACAAGTCCATCAAGCCACCAGAGGGATTCAAGAATTTCCTTGGCATGCTTGATATCTTCGGTTTCGAGGTATTCAAGAACAACTCTCTTGAGCAGTTCTTCATCAACGTGACAAACGAAATGTTGCAGAAAAACTTCGTCGATATCGTCTTCACGAGGGAGGCAAAGCTGTACAAAGAAGAAAACGTTTCAACAGCTGAACTGGTATACACATCGAACGCAGACGTCATCAATCNAAGCTGTACAAAGAAGAAAACGTTTCAACAGCTGAACTGGTATACACATCGAACGCAGACGTCATCAATCTGCTCACGGACAAGAAAAGCTCCATTCTCTCTTCCTTAGAAGATCAATGCTTGGCCCCTGGAGGAAGCGACGAGAAGTTCGTGGCTGCGTGCAAGAGCGCATTCAAGAACAGCACCAAATTCAAACCCGCAAAGGTTTCCCCTAACATCAACTTCCTTGTTTCACACACCATCGGCGACATTCAGTACAGCGCCGAAGGATTCCTCTTCAAAAATAAAGACGTTCTCAGAGCTGAAATCATGGAAATCGTTCAGGCCTCAACTAACGTCGTCGTGAAGGACCTCTTCGCCGGCATTGTCATGGAAAAGGGAAAAATTGCAAAGGGTCAACTCATCGGCTCTCAGTTCCTCAAGCAGCTCGAAGCCCTCATGGAACTCATCAACGTAAATCTTATACATCGGACACACACCTCGTCACCTACCTACACAAAGAAACACACAAAACACGCCTGCTTACATCCCCATAGAAGCATGCATATTAAGTACTTTCAGTATAGAGTTTCAGCATCACCACTACCACCCGTACACTTCCATGAGGAATGTAACTGCTTAAAACACTTTAGCAGTTGCAAGCGTCTGCAGAGGACTCACACCCTGTCAACACAAGCCATCCAGGGGCAGTTGAGGAGACCCACAGAGATATAAGTAGTGATTAGCATAAACACCAGAAACGGCTTATGCCATAAATATAGGCAGGCGCAGTGCAATGTAGATACTGCAGAAGTTGAGATAACGTGAAAAGTGAATAGAGGGCCGCTTGGTAACAACATTCATTGATTCGTCTCTATTGTTCGTGCATAGCCCAACTGTAGTGAACACACGTCTAAACCCTAAGCTCTGAACGCTAGACCCTGAAGAAGTGCACACTTACAGGTTCTGGAGCTTGGATGAAAGGATTTGCAGAAGTGGTAGTGTTGTTCCTACTCACGGTTTTTGTTTGTCTTTTTCTGCATCTGCTGCTTTTGTTTCATTCCGCTTTCGGATATGTGCTTGTGTTTAATTTCTCTTTGCGCAGAGCACGGAGCCGCACTTCGTGAGATGTGTGAAGCCCAACGATACCAAGAAACCCTTAGACTGGGTACAGTCGAAGGTGTTGATTCAGCTGCACGCGCTTTCTGTGTTGGAGGCGCTGCAACTCCGCCAAGTCGGTTTCTCCTACAGGTCAGCTGCTGCGA